TGCCTTTGAGGAAGCAACGGAAGACGAGGTGACAAAAATCATTTCTAGATCTAAGAAGACTTCATGCCTCCTTGACCCTATGCCGACAACACTGCTCTCCCAGATTCTCCCTGCAATCATTGGTCTCATAACTCACATTGTAAACATTTGCTTTAAAACCGGGAATTTTCCTGAATTAAGTCTGCAATTATCCGTCCACTACTGAAAGAGCCTAACCTAAATGCAGAACTCTTGCAAAATTATCGACCTGTATCTAACTTGTCATTTCTGTCTAAAGTGGTAGAGCGTGTGATCGCCACAAGATTGTTCAATCACTTATATGCAAATAACTTGGTTGAGAAAATGCAGTCGGCATACAAGGTGAATCATGGCACCGAGTCAGCACTCCTTAGAATTAAAAATGATTTGCTATGTGCGGTCGACAGTCACTCCGCTGTGTTACTTGTTCTCTTGGACCTATCGGCCGCATTTGATACTGTTGATCATCAGGTACTGCTGTCATTTTTGGAAGAAACTGTTGGGATAAAAGATACAGCACTAAATCTTTTCCGTTCTTACCTCACAGGCAGATCACAACAAGTATGCGTGGACGGAGTTCTCTCTGAATTAGCTCAACTTGTCTTTGGTGTTCCACAAGGCAGTGTGTTAGGACCACTCACCGCTTTACTCATACTTTACCGCTTGGTGCAATCCTTCGTTTTCATGAGATTGGTTATCAGTTTATCACATTTATGCTGATGACACTCAGCTTTACACATCCTGCAATATAAGAAACCCTGAATCATCAATTACTAAAATAGCCAACTGTATAAGGGGGTGGATGATCAGAAACAAACTCAAGATCAACGACGAGAAAACTGAATTCCTAGTAATATCTCAACCACACAATAAGAACATTGCCTGCAGTCTTAGCATGTCAATAGGTGCCAGCGTGGTACAAGTCTCATCTCACGCCAAAAATCTGGGAGTTTATTTTGACAGTACATTGTCCATGAACAGGCAAATTTCTAACGTATCTAAAACATGTATGTTCAATATTAGAAACATTGGTTCCTTACGAAAACATTTAACTCTACTACAGCAACAGTTATACATGCCCTGGTTACATCGAGACTTGATTTCTGCAACTCCCTTCTTTATGGATCTTCAAAGGAACAAATCAAACGGCTACAGCGTGTACAGAATATATCTGCTCGCCTACTGACACGCACTCCAAAAGACAACCACATTACTCCTGTTTTAATGATGTTGCACTGGCTCCCTGTCCGAGCACGCATTTTATTCAAACTTTTAACATTTGCACATGCAGCATTTTATAAACTTGCACCTTCTTATTTAAATGAGCTTGTTTTACACTACGTGCCATCAAGAAATCTCAGATCAGGTGATCACCTTCTTCTTAAGGCTTACAAGGCAAGATTAGTATCATACGGTGATAAAGCTTTTTAAATTTGCAGCACCAAAAGAATGGAATATTTCACCCATCAGTCTTAGACAAATTGTGGCCCCTGGACATTTTAAAAAGGAACTAAAAACCCACCTTTTTAAACAATATTATCTTTAAATTCTTGAAAAAACACTTCTTAAGAAAAACTGTTCTTAGTCATAGTTTTAAATTTCCTCTTTTTTATCCATTTTATATATCCTTTCATCTTATAACCATTAGCAATATTTTTCTTTTAATTTAAATTTTATAATTTTTGTAAAATCTACTGAACACATGTTGGATTTTAGACTATAAATAAATATTATTATAATATTATTACCTGTTTTCTCTTAGATTCCCAGGCTGCCTGGCATCCTACTGAATGCCAAAGTGCCATTAACGGGATGCTTGTGTATAGCAACTACACTATGAAGTCGGACGTCCAGGTGGGTCGCGAACTAACGGCCCGCCTTATGTGGGTCTCTTCTTGGAATGTCTCCCCTTAATCAGCTTGAATTATTTTAATGAATTTATTAAAGCCCACAAATATGATTGCTACCTTTTTTCAAACTTCTCTTAAAATCTGAACGTGGGTTAAATGTATTTTTAAGAGTGGTGAAAATTTGAAATTTAACTATTGGCGTTGGGGATTGCGACGCCCCGCTGGACTTAATAAAGAATGGCAGCCTAACGTTTTCAATGCTTAAAAGACTGTATCACACCATTTCTCCTCAGTTATATTCTTACTCTTCTCCTTTATTTATTTATCTATTTGCCTGAAGGTGGCGGGTATGCTGACCCATTACATTCTCTCAGGTGGTCTGCATCCATTCGGTGCCAACTTCGTGGACATTCAGCTGAACATCACCCGCTGCTGGCCACGCTGGGTCTTCCTCGGCCACGAGGCCCAGGAGCTCGTGCGGTGCACCCTGATGTCCAATCCCGAGGAGAGAGTCACCATCTCCGAGGCGCTTAGGCATCCATTCTTCTGGCCGGACAACAAACGCAGTGATTTTCTACAGGCTGTCGGGCTTGAGATTGACATAGAGATACAGTACAGGTGTGTGTGTGTGTGTGTGTGTGTGTGTGTGTGCGTGCGTTCGTGTGTCGTTTCGTACATGTGTGCGTGCCTGTGCTTGCATGCGTGTGTTCGCACACGCGTGGAGGAAGAAAAATATATTATACATTATATTATATAATATGAAAAAATGAAGTAAATTTACATTACAATTATGTTTCAGCTCACTTACGGACGACACAATGTTTATCTCTCTTTTTAGCTTTTTTTACGTCATATTTCTCACTTTTCACAGGAGCCAGACCTTTCTCCAGCTCAATGAGCGTCTTAATAACGTGGCGTTCAATGCCATCAAGAAAGACTGGGTAGGTTTTGAGGTTGGAAGCTAGGTTCAAACATTATTTTATTAATATGAACAGTTCGTCAAGGGGCTGATACATTAAAGGATGTCTTTCCGCTGTAGACGCTTAAATAGGCCTTTCTCTGAAACTTTGCCTATTTGATCCTGAATCCCAAAGCATGTCTCACACGAAACCGTTGAGAAAATAAAGGTTGAGGTATAGGTTTTTAAGATCACTTAAAGAAAAAAAAGCGCAGCATTTTTTTTTTTCGTCTAAACTTCTCGCCATTACTCCCCTACGCATGGAATTCTGGGACTTGCCTCAATTTGCATATGACTGAATACTACTGTTTACTACGCTCTGGAGAAGACCCGGATGTCACTGCAAACCAAGATGGAGGGTAGTCCGAGTACACGTGAGTTGAAAGAGAGAAGAATAACTCTACGGGACAATGAAAAAGGAAATAAAACGGGAAATGCAGAAGCAGAGGATGTTATTTTCATTGGCAGGCCGGTGAGGTAGACAAAGCAGAAGTAGGAAATAAAACTGACAAGCGAGAAACTGACAAAATTCTGCCGGATACGGGTAGGTTATTTCGATCTCTTATCACGTCCGACTCTTTCATTGAGAACATATTCAGGAGGCGGATTTAGGGCGTCTTCTGGTTCTTCCGGAAGACGGTTAGATTTTCAAGTTTTCATTGGCGGGTATATGTAATATTTCTGTCGAAAGGCGGTCAAAAATGGAGGATGGATCAACATTACTCGGAAGACTGTCAGAATAGACCTATATCTCTGGATCCGCCCCTGTTCTCCCTGCTGTACGCAGAAAAGTTTATTATTCTTTAGAG